CTTACGGGGCTTCATTAGCTCAACAGTTTGGGAGAGGGAGGAGGCGACACAGCAGGATTCTCACCAAGAGCCTCACAAAGCAGCCATGCAGTTTAAAGAAAACAAAATAAAACTTGCAAAGGAATCACACAAAACTTCTGGAGAATAATTCAAGATTTATTTGCTCATCTTGCTACGGTTTTGTACTTACTGGCACTTTGAACTCAGCAACCGCAGTCAAGCTCTGCATGATCATTTTAGACAATACTGTATTACAATTAAATTCTTCAAACAAAAATGCCTGAGATAGCTAGCTTGGCCGGGGGGGTGGTATTTCACTGTATAAACATACAGACAACTTGAACAAAACATCTGATTTGGGACAAAACTCTGTTTACACAATTCATATACGTGTATATAAAAGGTAAAAAACCCCATAAAACTTATAGAAGAACTTTATATGTACAGGTGTATTTTCTGGTTTCAAATGATCCAGATTTTTGCTGCAAATTTGCACATTCAGATATTATTTCCTTTAATTAGTGTTTCAGATGAAAAATGAATTATAGATAGAAGTCCCATAAACTACAAGACTTGAATCTTAGAAGCAGCTTTAGGTTGTTGGTGTAAAACCTGAGGACAAGCAGCCTTTTCTTCAGTTTTCAGTTAAGAATCCCGTTCAGCAGTTCAAATCCTACCTCTTTAGCTGCCCTGACATAGGTTAACACATGGCCTGATACCGTTCATGAAAGACATTCACAAGAGGAAGTTGTGTCTTGTTCCCCACTCACCAGCCTACCGACATTTCTATAGTATTGTCTTCTCATCACTTTGACTGACTTGTTCATGCTCGTCTTTTCAGAGATTCTTACTTAGCTTTTAGTTATTTATGACCCTTTCATTTAGTTAATTTTTCTGTATTTGACTATTTCTAGTTGTCTTTGTTAAAGCTTTAGTCAGCAATCTTAATATATTCCTCTTTTTTGAGGCAATTTACATGCATGTGCGTATGTAGATGTGTAGTTAGACATGGTATTTATATACGCCTGCATTTGTGTGTTCATATGAAAGCCTATGACTTGTGTACACACCTGTGACAGACAAGTAGTTTGAATTGCTCATACATCAGAGTCGTTATGCGTATATATACGCACAGTGAATATAAATTCATGCTATTTTGTTACATGGAAGAGAGTAAGGGTGAACATGCATATGCACTCTTTATATATAAAGACAATGTTCATTTGTTAAGATTTCTTTGAGTTTGGTTAATTTAAGATCAACAAGCATGTACAATGGAAAGCCAGATAAACTGCCAAAAGAAATCTGCTAGTGAGTCTTCTTTCACTTGGTCACTTCTAATGGATCTTGGATTCAGAGCGGAAACCAGACCGGATACGAAAACGCATTGGATAGAAATACTGACGCATTCTTTCTGTCTGAGCTAAACACAACAAACATACAAATTGGAGAGAAACGGACTACCAGGCTAGAAGTACCATGCTATGAAGCTAGTGCTGTCACGCATTCAGCTATGCATTGTAAATTTAAAATTGTCACAATAAAAGCAATAAAGGCAATGCTTTGATTTCAGTTCAGTGAAAAATTATAGCTTGCCACTTTTCATTTTCCTAGTTCTCTCTACCAAGCAACAGACCATTAACCAATCTTTAGCTGATGTATGTCTGCGGGGCAAAGTTAAAAGAAATACCCAAGTTCACACCAGCTGAGAATTTGCGTCCTTTGTTTTGCAGCACTACATACAGTATTTAAATGTGTATACTTGAGCGTGCATAACTGATTAAACATTTGTCATTACAGCATTAGAAGCCAGCCAGACAACGTTAGAAGTAGAAGTAAAAAATTTTGTCTCTAGCTTCATGAGAAAAGAAAAGGTTAACTCAGAGAAAAGTGCTAAAACCATACAAATACATTCTCCCTCTGGGCCTTAACAAGATACATCAACAAAAGGTATCACAGAGAAAAGGTTTAAGTATTATACATTCCAAAATCCTAAGAATTAAATCTTTCTGCAGTATTATTAAAGTAGTATTGTCAGGATCACAGAAAGTCCATTAATTTCCAGAATAAAATCTTTTCCTTTTGCTATTTTCATTACATGGTAGTAATTATTATTTTTTTGCAATATTTATAGCAAATACTTATTTTTAAGTTACTTGCCCAAAAATGTCCAGTGTACTGGTTCTCAACATTAGCTTGGAATCTGTTTAAAAGCTCACAAAAGTCTCGATGTGATATTTCCAATAATTTTAAGCTCTACTCTACAATTTTTTGTATTGTATGGTGTTTTTTTCCCCTCCACGTGTTGTTTTACTGATATTCTTTTACAAGTCAATGTTAGGTTTGTCTCCCTAACTCCTGTGGTCTATCCTAATCACAGAATCACAGAATCACTAGGTTGGAAAGGACCTTCAAGATCATCAAGACACCTTGAATGACTGCCTGACTTCCATGTTGTCCAAATACCTGATATTCTGCTTTTCTCTAACAGCTTCCTAGCTTACTCTTCAAAATTCTCCAAGTTGCCCCTCTGCTGCCAATGAGTTTGGCTCTTTGGCAGCACATGGCTCCTCTTTCACCTTGTGTTTGCAGATTCTCAATTTGAAGGCAATTATACTTCAGTCTTGTTCTTCTCAAGTTCTGCTGAACTCGATGTTCCCATTTCCTTTATGGACATTACAGGCTGCTAGGCTCTTAATTGATGTGGCAAATTTGCCTTTTAATTAAAGCACTCTGCCTTTTAATTAATTTAATTAAAAGCGTTTTACAACAGCTAAACAATTGTTTTTTTCATCACCAAAACAATTATCTTATGGGAAAAGAAAGAAAAAGCAGAAGGAAAAACAAAGTCTTTCACTGGGGTCAATTTCTCCATCAATACCCCTTCTGCAACAAAGCGGCATGCTCTTTATTGAGCATTATCTGGCTTTGGCATGTCTTATACTAGATATAGCTGGCCAAAAACCATGGAAGACACCCCCAAAAATCGTATTTCCAAGAAGAGGAATACAGAATAGTGCACTTTGCTGTTAAATTGACTGGATACTTGTCAAAAAGTTCATTAGAAAGTAAAAATACCCACATAATATTCAAAGCCTCTAAAGTTGCAGTGCATTATTCTCTCCTTTTAAGCAGAGATTTCATGTTATTTGAATAGAATTATTTAGCCTTACACAAGAATACCATCACATGGGGCTTGGGACCACTTTTTATGTGAAATCAATGGTAACACTGTTGTAAAGAAATGATATCCTGATAGAGAAGTATAACACATTATCAGAGGATTTGCAAAAGAACATTTTTTTCTTGTATTTTTCTTACGTTCACTCCTCGATTCAATTATTCTTATACCGACTTACCTCAGAATACAGAGGCAGACCTTGCCTCCTGACGTCAAACGGCAAAATCCAAACCTTTGCTTACTTTCAATGTCGGTGAGCACGAAGGTAAAATGCTGTCCTACTTGGTTTTGGGACACCCTGAAAAATTAGATACAGAGCATAAAACTACTAGATCACATAGAACACGAGCATTTCAGTCACTGGTCTCAAGCATCTTCATGCCTGAGCCTCACTATCCTTTTCTCCCTTCCCACCCTCCAGGCTGCCTCCTGCACCCCATTCCCTCCCCTCAGCACAGGAGAGCCCGGGTCCTTCCTTCAGCCGTGCCTCCAGCTGCCGCCCCAGCCCTGCGCTCCGGCTGACACGCTCCACAGGATCTGGACCCCAATCTGAATGGATGGGGCATTTCACAAGGTTTTTTCCTAAGTAAAGCCTAAGCAGAGCCAGTACAAGCCTGCCACAGCTTGTTGGCTTTGAGCACACCTCAACAGGAGTGCACAACCAAAACAAAGGTTTAAAATTCTACAAATAATTTATTAAATGTCATAATACAGGCCTGGCTTAAGGCAGCCATTAGAAAACTAGTTTTCTCCCCAACCTCCTTCAGAATAGCTTCATTGGTTAAACCCATGGCCTTCCTACACACCCACACACATCTTCCTCGCTTTTTTGCGCTACACATTGCCCAGCAAACAACTTTTTGCTAAGTTCATTCTGCAGTGCAAACTTGTTTGGTTCTGGAAATGCAAAAGCTAGAAAACAATCAAGAACAAACAGCATGAGAGCTAAAACAATAATATTTTCAAGACTGTATCGAAACACATACCCACTTGAGACAGAATACGTTTAGATAAAATTTCCCTGCCTGATGTTCCAACTTCTCTCATCCCCAAGCTCTGCTCAGCCAGCGTTCCCCCAGCAGTGCAGGCTCATCCATTTCGTTCTCAGTTTGCACCTCCCCTCCAGTGTCACTTCTGATCCCTCATACTCCTCTCCAGGTGCCAGTCCCAACCTCCATCCTGACCCCCCACTTTCTGCTTGAGGGTATGAACCTTCCCCCAATCTCTTTCTTAAGAAGAAATGGCATCTTCACTGCCATGTCGTATCTCTCATCTCCTTTACGCTCTCAAGGCAGGCGCCTTTGTCTCTTGGGCAATTTGTCAGCTTCAGACAGCGGGTCCCTGAGAAGACAGGAGGGACCCGCTTTTCAGTGCGGCCAAACTTCAGTGTTCTTCACAGAAATTGAAAATATATTCAATGTAAGCATTTTAGAACACCAATAAACTGCATCTGAAGTTCACTCAGAGAAAAACTTGTTGCACTTTTCTAAAATCTACCAGAGCGAATCAGTTTTGGGTACACTTGGCATTTTTAGCCAGGAGAGAGAATGTGTGGCATAGAATGAATCATAGAATGGTTTGGGTTGGAAGGGCTCTTTAAAGTTTTAAATAAAACCAAATGAAAACAAAGTTATGATGGGGAGTGCATGGAGATTTGAAAACGTAAACTGTAACAGTTCTGCCTGTAATTCTGTTGTCCTCTGCTCTTTTCCCATTCTTCCATGGTCTTCTACATCAAAATAGCTAGCACTTCCTAGCAGGTGTTACGATTAACATGTGTCACGTGTGGTTCGTTCTTAGAGGTCAAGCTGAAAATTAATTCCCATAGAAGCTGAGAACCATCACAGATCTCAGTCTTCCAATTTAAGGGCACTTTTTTTTTTTTTAATTTATCCCCTGAAATATGGGTTGGGTTTTTTGTTTGTGGGTTCTTTCTTTTAAATCTCCACCAAAGTAAAATATAAACATTTTCCCCCAAGCAAGAGGAAAGTAGAAGACGATCAAAGGGCAAGAGACATTACATGACACACATGCACATTACACTGCTTAACACGTGCATGACAAAAGCTCAAAGATTAGTTAAGTGACACCACAACCCAGACTGCAGAGTCTCCCACTCGCTTCAATTTGGTGTAGTCGCTGTGAAGGTCCAGTGACTAGGCTGAAACAAAAGCCTGTGCTGAGCATATATGACATTACAAGATAGCTCTAGTCCAATATAATCACTGAAAACCCATGATAATTAATGGATGTTTTTTAGCTAGGTAATTAAACTCAAATCATTAAGACAAGCATGTCTTTTGCCTTCAATAGACTGGAACAACCCAGTGTGCTCTTTAAACACAGCAAACACTCAACGGCTTTCACTCAGTCCTTCATTCTTCAGGTTCTGCGTAGCTAGCGTGCTGCCTGTATATCATGCCGGATGCAATAGAGAGTCATCGATAACAATGCGTTATTACTCCCCTGCCAATGACGCAGTTTTCTATTTCACATCTTCGCATTTTCCTCTTTACTCCTGAGAGCAGATCGCCACTGAAACCTGCAGTATGGTTTCAGTACCCCTGCGCACACTGGGGCCAGGGGCTTACGCAGTAATTCAGCCGTAGCTGGTCCGTCGGTAGCACCGGTAACGCGCCGGGCACAGCAACCCCGGCTGCCTCCTGCTCCCACCCCCTCTCTCTGCTCTGCTGTGTCCCACCGTCGGGCTCAGAGCTTTCCGCAGCCACGACTGGCTTTTTCTTATGCTGCAGAACATCTGGCATGGTTAGGCTGGGGGCTCTGTGCACCATCTTCACCCAAAGAGATCATTAATAATTCACAAAAAGCAATTGTTAATAGATGCCCATCTATGCAGGTGTTGCTTTTAATGTACTGTGTACATGTATGTTAGGCAAATGCCTACTCCACTGCTGCTTGAAAACAGTTCCTTAGCCCAAAAAATGCACATGAGTAAGGATCTCTTACTTTCATTTTTTTTGCCTCCTCCCTTCCCAAAACCTGCAGATGACATGGGAAAATAAGCAGTATTGCAATTACGCATATGTAAAAATGTCACTACACAAGACCCCTTTAAAAATGAGATTTAAATTCTAATATTGTCTATTCAAAATAGCCCAGCCAAGTTATGACAGTTCAG